AGGTGCTTTCCTTCCTTCTCAGCCCGCCTGTGTAGGAGGAAGCTGAGGACGTGAGGGTACTGATTGAAAGAGCAGGTTGAGACCCGGGAGCTGTTGCGCAAAAAGAATGGCAAATTATATAAGGAGGGAAAACGGAAGGGGGTGGTGGATGCAGCCATGCATCAATGCTTTTTAACCCTTTCCTGCTGCAAAAGCAGGCAGCCCCAGACGCTGGGATATGGCTGCAGTGAGAGACATTTTCATAAATAGTTGGTGCTGAATGCTTTGAAGCAAGGAGTGCACTGCTCCCTCCGTGTCCTTTGTAGACAGGCTTTGTACTCCAGGTAAAACTGTCAGAAAAGGTAGAGCAGCTCGTAATCTAGGAGATGATTCCTGTGGGAAATCAGGCTGCTTTTCAAGCGTAATTTGAAAAGCCACTGCCTCCAAACTTCAGCGATGGTGGGGTGCGGGTGGGGGTGTGGAAAGAAGAATGCCATTTATAAAGCAATCAACGCTTTGAGAGAGTCCACCATCACTCAGAATTATTTTCTGAAATTTGGCCTCTATTCCTTACTCTGGAGGAAAGGCAATACGGGCACTTGGCTTCCAATCAAGCCCGACACAGAGGACTGGGGTAAGCCACACAAAGGGAGAGGGACCCTGCATTGTTCATCACAGCTGGAGCTGTGGAAAATCATTTCTAGGCTCCTCAACTCTCCTGAACGAGCCGGAGGAAGCCTCATCAGAGGTTCCATTCATCTCACTTCTTAGTTTTAAACTTTAAAGCATATATTTATGTGCCTCAAGTTGCCCATGAACCACGGCATGTCAAACAGTTTGGGGTTGATGAAAGAGGTACATTTTCTCGTCCTGGGACTTTCAGAAACACAATTTCACTGCGAGTCTCTCTTCCAATATCTCCCATATGCTACCACAAGATGAATATTCCTAAAACGCCACTTTCAGTGCATTACTCACCTGTTTAAGAACCTTCCAAGGCCACTTTTTGATCCCTTAAGGCTGGGATCCCCAGATTAGCATCCAAGGCCCTCCATAAATGTGGCCTTAGCTCCCACAACCTCCTAACACACACCCTCCCAGATTGCCAGGCCACACTTTTTACAGGCCACAAATGTGGGGTGGCAAATCAGGCATTTTTGCCCTTCCCCACCCAGCATCTCTCTTCCTGGTAACCAAATACAGCACTTCCTTCTGGGGGAAACCACTCCATCAACTCTTTCTCCATGTGGTTTGGGTGTGCTGATCTGAACTCCTGCCTCCAGGTCTGCCCATGAGAATGCTGTAGATCAGAGGATGGCAAACCAAGGGGGGGGGGGGAAGCCCCTGGCCTATTTTTTTGAGGCCCTTGCACTAAGAATGATTTTTACATTTTTAAAATGTAAAAAAAAAAACAAAAACAAAAAACCCAACAAATCAAAGATGATACTGAGACCCTATGCCCTGCAAAGCCTAACACATTCGCTCTCAGGCCCTTGCCAGAGAAATCTGCCAGCGCCTGTCGTAGATGAACAATGTTTGGTTTGGGGCTGGACAGAGAACTGGCTGAGCTGACGAAAACAAATCCTAGGACTTTGCTGGAGCTGTCAGGAGGTGCACATTCTCCTGGGTTTGTTCAGTGGAAAGACTAGAAGCCTGAACTACTGATGGCCATCTTCAACACTTTATGGTGAGAGGCTGCTGGAGAATGAAGCCAACACTTGGGAAAGCAGAATCAAAGGACAGAGACAGGCTGAGGAATCTGGAGCCAGCTGGGCCTTATGGGTCTGTGTGCCAAGACGCTTCTTTTTGCTCAAGCCAGTTTGAGTTGGGGCTCCTGTCACTCCAGCTGAAGGACTAGTGATGAGCATGGATATTGGCAGGTATGCTTGGATGTCTTTGAGCATATCATTTTCCCTGTCTGGGTCATCCTTTATCCTGCTGCCTGCCAAAGTCTACTTGTCCTATAGGATCTCACCCCCTCCTGGAAGCCCTCTTTAGTTCTCCCTCACTACTGTGGTCTCCTTTACTTTGTGGGTGGTTCATGCTGAGGTCTAAACCATAAACTTCCTCAGCTAAAACTGTCTGGAGAAGCATGTATTGCATCCCTGACAAAGCCATGGGAAATGGGTCGAGAAGTGGGAGGGAAAGACACTGTTAGAGCCTCAGGCACAACCCTAGATGCTTTATAAAATCTACAGCATTTATTCTTCCTGATGCAGCTAACTGAAGAGGCAAAGGCAGCAACTCCATTTTAGAGATGGGAAAATGAAGCTCAGAGGCAAAATGACTTGACCAAGGTCACAGTTACTAAGAGGTAGAGTCAGAAATAACCCCAGCTCTGGCGACCTCCAAATCACCCATGTTCTTTCCACAATACGGTACCTCCTGGGGACCACAGCCAACCCTCCTCCAGCTACCTTCAGAGGATCCCCTGCACCCAGCTCTGCACTTTCCTGCTCCCTCCAGGACCTCCTACTGCCACAGATTACTGCTCAAACATTTCAGCCTGAAACTTGAGACTTTTCATCCTTTCCCAACCCCTAACTCCAAACCAATACTCCAAGTGCTGGTGTACCCTGAAAGGAAAGAGAAACGCTCATTAAACCAGCAAGTTTTTTTTCTTTTTAAAAGATGATCGGTAAGGGGATCTTAACCCTTGACTTGGTGTTGTCAGCACCACGCTCTCCCAAGTGAGCCATGGGCTGGCCCTCACCAGAAAGTTTTAACAGAGGGAAAGGATCACTTCGTGGAGCCTACATTAGCAAGGACTAGATTGAGTCAGCCGGACAGGTTCAAAATTAAATTTACTTGAATATAATAATAACTGGAAAGGTGCTCTAATTAGTGATTTTGTTTTGTTTTTTTAAATCAAGTGTAACACTCTGCCTGCAGGAATCCAAAAGCAACTCAGGGTAACTTAACTCTTTGAGGAAGAAGTGGGTTTTTGGAACACGGTGGCAAATCCTCCTTTGCAGGTTCTTTCCTGGAGAGCTTTCCCAGAGCCCAAGTTTTATAAGGATGTGTGTGTGCATCTGCCCCTGCCTCGGCCTACCCTCACGACCTGCCACACCCAGATGCTCTGGGAAGGCAGGCTACTTTAATCTCCTTGGCAGCAGCTATGTAATGCTCGACAAATCACGCCACCTCGCTGACCTGTTTTCTCATTTGTCAGGACCTAGAGATTGAATTAGCCTATCACTTTGTGTACCCAGTGGAATCAGGAACAATGCTGTGAATCCTTTTACATTTCCTCAATTAGAGGGCATTTTCCTCCTTTCCCCAAAGGAAATCATCCCAGAATTTTAAAAACAAAAGAGTTAAGTGATTATCTTATTCTTTCAGGGGTTCTTAACTTGGGGTCCCTGCGGGTCACTAGTGAAGTCTCTGGGATTGTACATAGAATTTGGTGAGGTCAGCTAAGCAAACCCAGCAGATGAGCACTCCTGAGGGTGACAATGGAGGAGCCAGAGCTTGTTTCTGAGGAGTCCAGTCCTCAATTTCATCAGATGCCTGGAGTGGCCCAGAATCCCAACAGATTGAGAGCTCATCCTTCTAGCCTAACCCCTCCATTTTATAGGCTGGAGAACTGAGGAACGAAGAGAAGGGCCTCCTGAAGACTCACTGGCAGAGCCAGACCCGAGCTGGACACCATACTGCCCTGGCAGGGCAGAGCTTAAAAGGAAATGAATGGTGCCCCTCCGGAAGTGGCTGGGGGCCTTACTCTCATAGGTCCCTATGCCAACCACCCTCTGGGTTTCTCAGAGCTTGGGATTATCTCTGTCACCGGAAGTTATCTAGACAGTGCCTCATCACGCATCTGGTGAGGTAGCATTCATCATTCCTGGGATCCTTCAGCACACGTATGTGTTGTGTATGATTTACATAATCTGTGTGTTTTAAGTTCCTCAGCTAGAATAAATCAAGTATTTATCTTACCTCTTCTGTAGAAACTGTACATCCAGGTTACCAAATGGTTGATGAAGGGAAGATTCCCTTACACAAGTACTCTGTCTAAAAGCAAGCTGGCAAGGTGGAATTAGAACAGCATTACTCCATAATCCCTAATGAATGAGTGAATCCAGGTGAGATCACCAATAGCTGCTAATATCACCAGAAGAGACTTGTTGTGATATACCTCCTGATGGAAGTAAATACCACCTATGAAAGGGAACTGCCAAAAAACAAAACCAAAAAAATCAAACCTGATCAAGACTCTTGCTCTGCCTCCCAATTTGCAGGAAACACAGGTGCCAGGAGGAGCCTGTGAAATGACCCCTACAGGGATGCAATCAGTAAATCCAGACTGTGGGAAATCCTGTAGAATGGCCTTGTTTCCTCATCAAAAAACACACAAGGAAGAGAAAAGGAAGGAGGAGGGGGAAATCTATAAATTAAAAAAGATTTATTAAAGGACATATCCATACCAGCAATGTACATAACTGATTTGGATCCTGAATCAAACACAATAGGGATATTTAGATACTATTTGACAATAATAAAGAATCATTGTTAACTTTTTTAGGTGTGATAATGGTATTGTGGTTGCACATTAAAAAAAATGTTGGGATGTGACATCTGGGATTTGCTTCAAAATAATCCGCGAGGTGGGTGGGAAACCAGATGGCTGGGAAATGAGGAGGGGAGATTTACTTTTCAATGTTTTCTGTTTTGTACTGCTTGGGTTTTATACCATGATTCTGTATTTCTCATTCAAGAACATAAACTCATTTTTTAAAAATCATCCAATTTAGGGCCGGCCCGGTGGCGCACTGCTACAGTGCGCCGCTTGGGAAGCGTGGTGGTGCTCCCGCCGAGGGTTTGGATCCCACGTGCAGACCGGCCGCTCACTGGCTGAGCGAGGTGCGGGGGCAACACCGAGGGTTGCGATCCCGTTGCCGGTCCCGGTCCGGTACGGGCATGACACTGAGGGTTGCGACCCGTTGCCGGTCACGAAAAAAGACAAAAAAGGAAAAAAAAAAAATCATCCAATTTAAATAACAAACTTCGAAGTGAGCTCTTGATCACACTTTTCATCCATGAAGTGACTTTATTTCATTTTCTTCTGAAAAACAGGTTAGGTGCAACAAATAGTACCATCCCATTATTTGAGAGGGGGTGTGTGTTTGTTCAGGAAGGGGACTGATCTGTATGAGGGTGTGTGATGGCAGGGTTGTATTCTGAAGATTCTTACATGTGAGATACTTAAACGTGGCCCTCAGGGTCTTGGAGGACACACGCCATGCGTAGTTCAGAACTCTGCCCCACGCATCTTTATGTGCTCAGGGAGCGTGTGCTGGGGTTTATGCCTGTGGCCAGTGAGATAGCTAGAGCCACCTGACAATGTCATCTGAAAACACAAGGAATGAAATATAAATAACAGTCAGCTACTTTCCTTCAATCCAATTTCTAAGCAGTTGTGTGATCGATCAATTTATAAATCGATTGACTGTCTAATCCACCTTCTCTGCTGGTGTTGCTATTGCCTTCGGCCAGGTTGGGGTCAGCCCAATTTCTGGCTGGGAGGGGAGGAGGAGCAGGTGACCTCTGCAGTCCCTGCCTGCCCGGTGGGGAGAGCGGGGTCACTGCAGCTCCCTAAGCAGGTGGAGCACGTTGGCCACGTAGGGGTTCTGCTGCCCAGTGGTCCCCTGCAGATGAACACGGTGGAGGCTGGGGTGGGGAGGTGTGAACTGCACAGGGCAGTAAAGTTCATTCAGGAGGAACCAGGTGGAGTCGGGGTCTACCTTCATCAAGTGGAGGAAGACGCTGTGGAGAGATGGAGAGGAGTGAGTGGAGGGTACAGGGAGGGGAGAGAAGGGAGGAGTGCTGCTGTTTCACCCAAGAGGCTGTTTACTGGGCTGAGAAGAAATTGATAATATCAAATCTCTTCAAGTAGCAGAACAAAGCCACTTTAGTTCATAAAACAGGGCCATTGGGATGGTCCCAAAACCTACCAGAAGTTAGAGGTAAACAGTTCCACATCCACTGACATGGAGAAACAGAGTAATTAGTTTGAACAGAACAATATTGACATCAAACAAGCTCTTGGTGAAGAAACAGGTTGAGTTCTTGGGTGCAAAGCAGGAATTTTCAAAAAGGATGACGACAGGGCCCACCCTTCACTATAGGCTCCATGTGGCTCACAGGCCCAGCCTGGGGTGGGGGAGGAAGGCCTGTGGGGCTGGACCAGGCCCAGGGTGGGGTCCCATCCTGCTGGGGACCCTGGGCAGGCCTCTCAGCTTGAGTCTCCAGGTCCTTGTTATGGGTCCTCTAGCTTGCTGCTTTGTCTATAGCTGGACCTTTCTGGCCTCTGAGAGCAAGGGATTTTTGGTGGTCTGGATACATGCTAATGACTCCCCTGTGAGGAGCCCATTTACCCAGTGATCGGATCCAACACAACATGCTGTCTGTTGTGGATTGATTGAATTGTGTCTCCAAAGTTCATATAGTAGAAGCTTAATTCCCACTGTAACTGTTGAGGGTGGGAAATCTTATTACAGTAATTGCGAAGTGGAGCCTTAAATAGGTTATTAGATTCTGAGGACCATGCCTAGTGAATGGACTAAAAGTGGTGATCATGGGCATGGTTCTGAGGGCTTTAAAAGGAGAGTGCATGAGGAGCTCTCTTACTCCTTCGGTTACGCCATTCTCTACCACCACCAAGACCCTCACCAGATGTGTTCCCTGGACTTCAGACTTCCTAGCCTCCAAAACTGTAAGCAATAAATTTTTCTTTATAAATCACCCAGTTTCAGGTATTTTGTTATAAGCAACAGAAACAGACTAAAATACCACTCTTCGCAGGCTGCCAAAGGGCTCCTTTATTCTCGGGGGGCATGACAAGCTGAGCTCTCCCTGCCCCATGACCTTTGGCAGAGACAGAACACTGATGTCCTATACACGACACAGACAGAACTCAAGGGCCTGGGCCACTGGCCACCAAACATCCACCAAGGGTGAGGCTATTTATCTTGGCCTGAACTTTGGGGTCACAACCCTTGCCTCTTATCTGCTCAAATCCTGTTTCTAAATGATCAGTCTCATGCCCAGGGCCACTGTAGGGGACAGTTCAAGTGTAAACGTCATATGTCTGGCTGACAGGCCTATGCAACAATTCAATCCCAGGCCAGATGAGGGTCCCTCCCTCCACACCCGGCCAGCCACCTCTGGCCAGCCTTCCCACCTCAGCCCATGTGTTGGCTGTTCAGAGAGGCTGGCTTTCCTGGACCATTTTGCCCGGGTGGGTTGCCCTATTCTTCTTCAGGACACCCTTCCCAGCACGTATCACCTACTTGTTTACTGGCTACCTCCCTTCCTCACAGTATAAGCTTCGTGAGGGCAGGGACCATGTCTGTTCTGGTCACTGCTGTATCCTGGGTACCTGGCATGGCACACAGTAAGCATCAGTAAGTATTTGTTGAGTGAACAGGTCCTTGTTTTAACGAAGACCTAGTGATTTATTAGCTGTTACAGTAATGACTTAAGATGACATCCCTCTCTGGATTATTTACATTCTATGAAAGGATCTGAAAGAGAGGTCAACTGGTCACCACCAAGGAAGGAATATTATTAACAGGATTCACAGCATCAGGCATCACTAGCTATGTGGCTGTGGGTAATTATTCAACTTGTTTCCGTCTCAAGTTTCCTCATTTCTAAAAATGGAGGATGTACTTCATCATTATTAACAGGATTCACAGCATCAGGCATCACTAGCTATGTGGCTGTGGGAAATTATTCAACTTGTTTCCGTCTCAAGTTTCCTCATTTCTAAAAATGGAGGATGTACTTCATCCAGGGTTTTGCTGAAGTTTAAAACACAGATCAAGCCCTATGCAGAGTCTAGCCCATGTGATCCCTATTTACCAACTAACTTAGTATCTATTTGCTGTATCATATTTTATTCTTGATAATTACTCCTAGAAACCTCTAACATACTTTTGAGCACCAAATAGGAAATTAAACGCTGGCTAAACAGAAATAAATACTGGATTTTAATTTTGTTAATTGAAAAACCTGTGCCCTGAAGGGATTTGGGTCTTACCTCAGTGAAGCGTTTTGCATTCTTCTTTGGGTTTAACAGACATATGCTGAGAGGGTAACGGGGCACTTTGAAAATTTTCCTGGACTGTTTTGTGCCTAAACAATTTAAGTTTTCTTTGCTCAGGATAGTCTTGTGTTTATAACCTCCACGGTGGTTGCTGGAGAAGTGATTAGAATATTCTGATTCACAGTTTCCACTTCACCACAGAAAGGAGATAGGGGCTGTGTGGGAGACAATTTTTGTTTAAAAACAAAAATATCTTTGATAATTAGAGTGGCAAGGGAAATTATGAAAAACGTATCAAAAATGGGAAGCAGATTTCTATTTACACGTGACAGACACAGTTGACAGTTTTCCCTGGTGCCAAAGACTGTTAGAATGCAAATGGTTTCATTTGATTTTTTTCCCCCCTTCAACCCTTCAAGAACTGGAACAATTTCTCAAGCTACAGCACAGCACTCTCCCAGCTTCAAGGAATATTTTTATCTGGCCATCACCCAGCAAAGTGGTGCCACGGCCCAGTTCAGTATAGCTTTGCTCTGACTTACAGGGCACAAAAATGTTGTAACGTTCCCTTTTGGAGTCCTTTTTAACATGATAAATGTGAGTATTATAGTCATTGGCAGGAAGCAAAAGGAAAGAAGCCACTCTCTGCTCTGTGAGATCTCCATGTAAAATGCTAACAGGGATGCACAGGAAAAATGTGTGCAAAGTTCACCTTCTTTTATTAAGAGCCAAACTCCTGGAAGAATTATTTTGGGTCTCATTTCTTCACTCTTAAAGAGGTAGAGGCCCCAGAATGGCAGGCATTTCCTGCCTCCGTGGCTTGGAGCAGATTCTTTTGCCTTATGAACCTGTTTCCTCTTTCTTCAAAGGAAGCTGATCACACCCAGCCCACCCTCCTCACAGGTTTTTTCTTAGGCTTCGAAGAGATGAGGTGCAGGAAAACACTTTGAAGTGTATAATGAAAACACTGTTCCTTCCAGAGAGAGAGAGGGAGGGGGAGAGAGGGAGGGTGGAGGGGGGAGAGAGAGGGAGAGAGAGAGAGAGAGAGACAGAGAGAGAGACAGAGAGAGAGAGAGACAGAGAGAGAGAGAGAGAGTCTAAGGAATAATTATCACTACTAACCCAAGCAGCACCACCATGCCACGGATAATTCTCAGACACTCTGAAAAGGGCAAAATGTTTGTCTTTTGTCTCCCTCATAATTTCCTCCGTACTGCCTTGGTGGGGGTCCCAGTTCTCAGCCAATGGCATTCTAATTTCACCCATTATTTTCAGAAAGAAAAGAATGCAATATACTTTGCCCTCAGCATGCCTGAGGTGGGAGCAAATACCGTGCCATGCAGCCAGATGGCTGGCAGGCGGAGCTGTGCTTTTGCTCAGCAAGCAGCATGCAGCCCACTGAACTCTAAACACGGACAAATTCTGAACCTGGACCCTCATTGGCTTTAAGCCCCTGGGAGCTGGGCCTGAGGCCCAGGAGGCCTGGTCTGAGTGCTCAGTAGTCAGGCTTTGTTCCAAACTCTGGTACCACTTCGTCCTGGGGTCAGTTCCTGTCTAGCCTGAGCCGGGAGGAGGGACCCCCAGAGGGTGAACACTGAAAGCTGAAAGCTGAAGTCTCAGAAAACCTTTTCTGCATAATCGAAAGCCAGAAGACAAAGACAGGACCTCTGCTTTAAAGTGATTGGGGTAACTGCCTGGAAAATGTTCCCAATACATCTTGAGACATGGCAAAGATGGCTGTTGAACATGCCAAATGGCCAGTTGCATCTTTTTTCAAACCCAAAGAGAAATACTCTTCAAGAAATATATGTACACCATTTAACTCCTGAACAAAAATTTCTTTCTCCTTCCCCCAGGCCCAAATCAGTGGCTCCAGGGAGCGTGGTTATCAAGAGATGATCTGGTCTCCAGAGTGTCGGGAGGCACTCAGCTGTGCCTTGTGCCTCTGAGTGTCCTGAGGCGAGTGATTATCTCTCAATAACCTATAGGGCCGTGTAGCTTAAATGATAACTTGACTTTAAAAAATTTAGAACTCGCTGTTAGGCAGTTTCTAAGCAACCTCTGTTTCCATGGCAAAGAAGCCTGGTGTTTATACTGATTTTTCACTTAAAATGCAGTTTTATTGAATTTCACTTCATGCAGGCAGCCATTTCCCCGTACTTCAGCCCTATCTACAATTGACGGGTATCAGTAAGTACCTAATAAACTCCAGATGCCAAGCCAACAGAAGTGGCTCATTCCTTTACGATCAATATTGGGGTGCTCTGAGTGAGCAAGCTGGGGGCAAGGTGGCCTGGGGAGGCAGGAAACATGTCACTGGAATCTGGCCAGCTGGGTTTGGGTCTTATCTCTTCGTGGTTCATCAAATATTTACTAGCACCTGGTCCAGCCCACTGTGCAAGGTGCTTGGTACACAAAGATGGAGGGACAAAGGCTCTGGCCTCAGGGCTCCCTGTGTGGTGGGGAAGACAGACGATCAGAGGCCCATGATGCAGTGTGGCGAGGGCCATCCTGGAAGTTGTGTGTGGGGTGGTGCTGGGGAAGGATTCCTGAGGAGGGAGGGGCATGGTGAGTTGCTTCTCTGTAAAGAAGGGGGTGGATTAGATCAGTTCTAAGGTCCCTTCCAGCTCTGACAGTCCACAGCAGTCCTCAGTCATGGGTGCTGGATCATAACCCCCTCCCCAAATATGGCAAAACCAAAAAGAAGCACCTCTGC